GGGTCAAATCTATGTGGCAGATGAAAGGAATCATCGAGTCGTGCGTTGGTGTGAAGGAGATGATGAAGGTGAAATTGTTGTTGGTGGAAATGGTTTTGGAACTCAATCAAATCAATTGAATTATCCCAGAGGTTTAGCATTTGACAATGAAGAAAATCTTTATGTTGTTGATCAAAATAATCATCGAATCCAAAAATATGAAAAAATTTGAAAATTAAAAATATTTTTATTTTTGGAAATAAATAAAAAACATTAATATTTGTTTTTTTTGTTTTCAGAAAAAAAGTAAATAAATATTTTGTTAATTTTAATTTCAAGTTAAAAAAATAAAATAATTCGGATAAATTTTTGTTCAATGAATCAAGTTGAAAGAATTTTTAAAAAAATTTCAGTTAGAAAATATTTTACTTCAATTTTAGAATTAATCATTTTGTTTTATTCTCAGAAGTAACAGTATTTTTTAGTCAAATTCTTTATAATCTCATCAGTTTCATGTTCAACAAACAAACGAATATATGTAATTCTATTCATGTTGAGTTTTCATTAATTGTGTGAAAACATATGAACTATTTTACGTACATAGTGGTAATTAACAATGATGATGTGTTTAAATAAAACACGTAATTATTAGTAGCAAAAGAAAGATATTTTCTAAAATACAAATAATATTTGAATCATTCAGTAATCACACAATTAGATGAAGTTCTAAAGTTTTATTACAAAATTATTTTCTTCTATCTATTTCTTTATTGTTCATTATGGTTGCGATTTTTTATCAACAAATTCAATTTGATTTTAGTTCAGTTTAGTATCCATAGTGCAGTGAAAATAAAAAAATATGACGTGTTTCATGTTATCTTGAAGTTTATTTTATGTTCTATTTTAATATTCTTCAATCATTCTATTTAACATCTTTAAATATTTGTCGTCATTGGCAAATGGTTCGTAGCAAGAAGATCTATTCAATTTATCGTCATTTGATTTTATTTATATGTGGAATTATTCCTTTATTGATTCTTATAAATATGAGTGTTCAAGATCAAACGAATTGTTCCATTGTTATTGAAGAACTTGGATCAAGTTGTCCTATAACTTATCCTTCGATTCTGATATTCCAATATAAAATGTTATTATTATGTTTGCTTTACCAATTCTAATTAATTTGAGGAT